GTCATCCTTGTAACGACCATAAGATATCTTGATGCCTCTATCCCTCATATAAGCCTCACAGTACTCGGCCGCACGTTCTGGAAGTGGACCCAAACATTTCGGTCCAGAGTCTACTATGTGGAGCTTGAGGTTAGGAAAATAGTGTTGTAGTTCAGTAACCCATTCAACGCCGATGAAGCCACCACCCACGACCAGGACACTGCCACTGCGCTCGTTAAGCTCTTTCAGTTTCTCATGTTCCTCCACGATGTGAAGTCTACGGCCCGAGAGGAAGCGCTCATCCAGATGCTTCCAATGGGACTCTTCGCGTGCATCCTCGTGAATAGTTGGAAACCACAAGGACGCGCCCCATTTGTTCATGACACCAAAATTGCAACCTGACGCTATAATGCAGTAGTCAAAATAGACTTCTTGCGTGCTGCAAGAGAACATCGGCTTCACTGAGGCGTACTTGTGAAGGCCGTTGATCGTCTTCACTTCACCAAAAATGAACTTGCAACCCATCTTCCCCTCCAAAACCGAGGAGTAAATGAATGTGAGACTGTAGTGATGGCCAGGGTGAACAAATGCTCGCAGAACGCCAGGAGTATATTCAAAATACTCCTTGGCATCAACGAGAGTGACCTCAAAACGAGAGGCCAACTCAGAAGCCGCAAACAGGCCACTGAAACCACCACCGACGATGAGAACTCTGCGTTTTTCGGGCATACCTTAACAAAAACGGACTGAAGACTTTCATAACCAAGAGAGGAGGGGAACTCAACATTTGACTTACTCTCCGGCAATACAGAAAAGGAGCATCCTTTAGAAGTCTATTGAAGAGTTTCTCAGGAGTCGTGTTGTAGTTGATATACCAGAAGTGTATCAAAGATATCCTTCCGGTGACATCACCTGAAGCAACGAGCGTACATCGAATACGACGCATTTTGTTGGGCTCGATCGACCTCGGACTTTGGGGCGAGAAAATGAACGCCCCCGCTCAACCGATAGACCGTTCTGATTCATAACTTCTGAATCAACCTCCCTCAATCCTGAAAGCTTGTACTCGCTGCAGACGACAGTTATGAACTCTCAATCAGTGTGAGAGGAACCTTCGATGGTTTGGGAAGACCCCGTTCTCGGATACAATATAGCCCGCGCTCAGAGCGCGGCTCTCCACTGACGTAACTCACCAGGGCGAGCATATCCTATCACTGCAAAGTATAAAAACCCACTCGTAAACTAGTACTAAATAGTTCTCCCATTGAGTCCACATTCAACAATGCGTGCCTTCTGCTCGGAAGCAAGTGACCGGCCGACGCGTGCACCCAGCTCAACTAGGATGCTTGAAAGTGCTTGTGCGAGCGCCAGGGTGACCCGGGTTGCGTGTGCGTCGCAGACTGTGCGAATCAGCCGCCGGCTGACAGCCGTTCAGCATTCTTGACCAAAGCTTTTGACGGTTAGACTGTCTGACTCAGATACTACACCCTTGCAATTCCTTGGTGAATGATGCTTGCTACACGTTGTTTTGCCAGCTAGTCACTTGAAGCGGTATAGGTCCGTGTCGGAAACTGGTGAGTTGACTCGACTCACCGGTTTGCGATACGGTCGACTCAGTCAAACAGAATTCAACTTAAAAGGAAAATATTGGCCTCTCAGAGTGTGCCACCTGGTCCTACCTGTCTTCAACTCAAATGTCGTATATGAAATGAACTATATATTTGAAATATGTGCTTCGTTAGTATCGGATGAAGCTCCGGATGGCCCGGAAACCTCAAATACTGGCGGTGAGGAGGTGAGCTAGTCTGTTATGTCTTTGCGGCCAAGTCTGCCGACAACAGTGCTCCAGTCACTGGAGTCCAGTGGCTAGTTCCACACAAACGAGATACCTCCATAAACGGCCTGATAACGGACGAGAATCCCTGGAGAAAGGACCTTTCTGATTCAGGAATCCTGAAGGGCCAACGAGGTGTGTATCTCTGAAACCTACCCAAAGACCATGGTCAGTACTATCGGACCGGTCCGACCGGCTGGGTTTAGTTAGTGAGCGGAGATAGGCGGATAATATGAACAGTAGAATACGCGTACTCCTTCCTGTCACTGGCAGACTACCAGGGAGGATTAATCTAAATCAGCAGGAAGCTCCTGGTGATCCACAGGCTATCGCCAAATTGGCCATTATTATCAAAACAACAGCTCCCACTTTTCGGTTCGTTATGTTACGTATTTCTTTTCTCGGCATTCTCACACATCAAAGTTTGAGCCGACTTGATCATTTAGGAGATTCTCACCACTCGAATCCTTGGAAGCGAGGGGATTGGTTAGAGTATCTCTGACTATGTGGAGCTCTAATGAAGCCGGTCTATCTCCGCCGTTCATCAGCGATGACGGTCCCAACTTCGTATCCACGTAACCGGGACCCGGTTGACTAATCAATGCTTTGTCCGACAACACGTTGACGACAGACTCTGCCGTAGAGGAGTACTAGGGTGTCGGAAAAGGGGTTCCAAAACGGCGGAAAGTTTCGGAGGAAACTTGTGAAGATATCCCTCTAAGAACTTGTGAAGAGAATTTGAGCCAGTTCGGATGACAGATGTAGCCGTTGAAGGCGAGTATCACTCGGAGGATGGCCCTCGTAAAATATCAACTAATGATTTGAGCAGTGATATATCGTGGCTTCAAAAGCCCCGTGTCCACCGAGTTATCGGTTGATCAGGCTGTCAGTCACACATGTCCATCGGTTATGAAACACCTCGACAGCGCTGCGGTACATGTTCGAATGCTGTCGTATTCAGTCATGTATTTAGTATTCAATCCAAGTCATCTCATCTGGAATAATCGATATTAAACGAGACTCAACTTCGAGCATTAATCCGCTTTGGATAACATCATAGCCTGGACCAAGTTCAGACAACAGAGGCGTTAAAAAGTTGGAATGTCAATCAATAGTTGACGAAGGGAGTTCTGTGTACAAAATGCCAAGCAAATTTGCCAAGCCATGAAGACTTGCACTCTTTGACCTTGGAGTACTCGATGAAGTCCTTCAAGCCGCCGAAGTCTTCCACTCAGCACTATCTTGCCTTTGCC